CTCCTCTTTCATACAGTTGCAAAAGATTTACAACTCCCTTCCTTCGATTTCCAACTCCCTTCCATAGTTACTAGGGATTAGTAAACTATGATTATCATAATTTCATTTCACCTTTGTTGTACGTGTTTAACCCTCGCTTGTAAATCCACATGTCCAGCAGCATATTGTTCAATCACATCCTTAACATCATACGGCCTTAGAGCCTCTTTAAATTTCCTTCTAGCCACTAGCAATTGAATCCTTCTAATCGCCCTAGCAGCATTTTTTAATGCCGGGGTATAATCATCGAGGGTTCGAAGTTGTAAAAGTGGTGAATCTTCATCTAATTTTTAAAAATAAATTTTTATAAAATTAAGGAAAATCAGAAAACGAGGTAAAAGGTTAAAAAAAGCAAGCAAAGCAGTGAATACGTACCGTAAAATTTTTTAAAATATTTTTGAGAAGCAAAAGACTTTAACAAAACACAGACAAATTTAAGCAAAAATCGGGTAAACTGCCACATATCTGTAACTCTTAGAAGGATACCTTAATAAATTCCTAAAAGGAGGCGCTATATTAAGGACTCTCTAATGGAGAGCTCGACAGAATAGCACATATTATAGGATTTATGTAGTTGAAATTCTCATAGTGTTACTCGCAGAAAGAAGCTCCAGCTAATTGTCTCTTCAGCTGGAGAAGAGGCACTTAACTAAATGAGCGTTTCAAGTATATATTACTATGATGAGTTCTAAAGTCTGGTAGTAAAAGCTTAGAGGGCTTCAAAGAGTTATGGTTATATAAAAATCCATGCGTCTTCTGAAGAAGAAAATTCCTCCTTTTAGTAGTAAACCCCCCCCATACGCCCACATGTCGCAATGGGACATGTGAGGCGTAGAGAGGGGGATGTGTAAAGGTGTAAGGGGTTTTCTGCTCCCATCCGTCCCAGTGGGACCGATGGGTGGAGGGAAGGAAATGACCTTGACAACAAGTACAAACAATTTTGCGGCTGAATGGGGTGATCAAAGGGGAAGTGGGGGTAGTTAACTGTAACTAAATTTCTCTGTTGTCCCACATGTCCTAGTGAGAAATTTGGGAACTGGCGGTAAACAAAAAGACTCCTTTTCTTGTACAAGTACACGCAAATTTGCGGGTGAATGAAGGTGATCAAAGGGGAAAGGGGTAGAAGTTTGCGCTATTAAATTTCTCTGATGTCCCACATGCTCCGTGGGGAATTTGAGAGAAACTGGCGGTAATCAAAAGGAAACCTTTTGATTGAGGGGATTTGCGACTGAATGAGTGGATCAAAGGGGAAGGTGATGTAAGTTTCCGCCATTTAGTTTCTCTCTTTCCCACATGTCACAGTGGAAAATTTGAGAGGAACTGGCGGAAAACAAAGGGAAACCTAAGGATTTGGTACACTTATCTTTATTCTCTGCTGTAACCTTCTGTTGTCATTGTTGTGACAAGATACAACTACATGTGACAGTTGATAAATGATTTTGATTGATTGACATGTGACAAGGTACAAGTGTTAAATATTTATTAGATTGATAAGTGACAGATGTGATAATTGTAACATGTAAAATCTTTGATCAATGAACAAAAACTAATTAAATTTTTAAAATAATTAAATCTCTGAGCGAAATCGAACCTTCACCATTATTCCTATATTGTTAACCTTATTGTTTTGGGCGAGGAGATGTATTAAAAGCAATCAAACTTTTATCCGATTTATGTATTTCTCGTTCACTTTTCGCAGGGGGCTGGAGGAAGAAATTAAATAAAGGAAAATAATTATATTGGCTTTTATTCTCGCAAGGTCATTTGCGGTAAAAATTCAAATCAACTCTTTTCAGAGTAAATTTTTCTTTTCATTTGTTTGTGGAAATTAAAAAATTTTTGAAATATATAAATTTTTTGAAAAACATGAAGTTTTTAATAGCAAGTTAAAATTTTTAAATTAAAATACACAAAAAAAAATTTAAAAAATTAAAGTTCAAAAAAGTAAAAATTTTTAAAACTAAAAATATTGATTAAATAAGGGTAAATGAGGAAAATGATAAATTTAAAATTTTAACAAAAGATTTCATATAATTTTCAAAAATTATTTGATTTTTTTAAAATTTTTGAAATATCAAATTTAACATGCAAAACGAAGAAAAAACTTTAATTTATTAATTACTTTGGATCATCACATAAATAAATGTTGATCTTTAGGGGGGTATAGAAGAAATTGTGGTATAGAAGAATCGAGGGAAAATAAGTAATTAATTAGATTCCAAAATTACAAAAAATATCTTTTAATGAAAATTTAACTCATATATTTGTGGAAATTTTCTAAAACCTTAAAATTTATTAAAATCTCAAAATTTCGAAAAGACTATTGAGTTTTAAATTTACTTTAAAATTTCATGTTATTGTCGGGGTTTGGAAGCAATAATCTTGAACCTATTGAAATTTTTATAGGATCAAATGACCTTGAAATATGAAATAAGCCAAAGCAAATTTTTAATTTAAACTTTTCTTTTACCGAATCTTTACCTTTAAAACCCAAATGATTTATAAGTTTTGGAGTAAAATCATCTTGAAAATGATTGAAACTGTTGAAATAAAAAGAATAAAAATAATTTCCTTTTATTTTAGTTAACTCAAAAGATCAATGAATGATTAATGAGTTTTACGTAAATACATGCTTAACTATAACATTTTTCTTGACCTTGACATGAAAATATTTCTTAATTGTGCCACATTTCTGAACTGAGGAGTATAAAAGCACCTCTTTTTTAATTATTTAATCATTTGAATTATAAAAACAAAAACAAAGCAATTCACATTTAAACTATTCTAAAATGTCTTTTAACAATGGACAAAACGGGGCATCTGCGAACAAACGCCCGCGATTCCTCATCCGCAATCTACTTCCCCATTTATTCAATAATACCCAAAGCGGTGAGGGGGCAAAAAATTTGAAAAATAATTACCGAAAAATCGACTACGAAACGGAATTTAACCGAAAATTCAAAATGATGGCAACAACAGGGAAGTTTATCATTGAAAAAGTACCTGAGAATCCAGAGGAGTTGTTAAGAGAAATTATTCAAGAGTGTATTGATCAAACTGTGGAGGAATCAAGGAATCAATCAGTCGAACCTGATCGATTAGGCGCTATAATCTCCTCACAGTTGCTTGATAACGAAATATGGATACCTATTAGAAAGTTGGAAAAAGATACAGTAGACAACATTTTAACCAGATTCCAGCTAGTTTCTCAGTCTAAAATAGAAAAGGGATCATTGTATGGTCAGCCATTCACAATAAAAATCCAGACGTTAGGGATTTCAGCACTTCCAAAAAATCAATCAATTAGAGGAAGTGCACCACAAGGCAATAGAACAAAAATTCCTCAACTAAGGGATGAATTATTCATTAAAATTGTCAATCCTAACAACCTGTGTTTATTCTATGCGTTGGAAATTACTAAAAAATATGTGATTAAAGAATTGGGGGATAGACGAAATTTTAGTAGATATCTACAAAATAACCATCGGCAAATGAAGGATGTTTTTGATCTGTTAAAAGCTGCAAAAATCCCTCAAGATCTCCCTGAATATGATGCTGTAGAATATGTGCCTGTTGTTGTCGACTTTTGGAATAATCAATACAAGGATACAGGTTATAAATTTAAAGTATTTGTTTTTGGAAGTGTAAACGAGAAGCCTAAATTTAAATATGGAAGTGAAAATTTCAATGTCCCTATCTCAATTTTTTACTCAAATAATCATTTCGATGGATTAAGAAATGTTGGCGGAATGTTTGGATTAAGAGTAAAATATTGCTTTACCTGCGAAAAGAGCTTTAGAAAGGACAAGGAGCATAGTATGAGATGTAAATCGCGTTGCCATCTCTGCGGGCGTGTAGGAGGAGACAGACCATGTGTGGCAACACCTGACTTTTTCAAAGAATGTGATGAATGTGGGAAAAAATACTTAAACAAAGATTGTTTTGAACACCATAAAAAAGGTAGCAACTGTCGTCAAACAAAACAATGTGAGAAATGTGGTGTAATCTGGTCGATGAAGAATATCAAAAGAGGAAATCAAAGGAAACACGTATGTGGACAGAAATGGTGCCAAACTTGCTTACAATATCATAGTATGGATAGAGGTTGCTTTATTCAGCCTTTAGAAATTAAAAAATCAACACCATACCGTCTAGTAACATTTGACTTTGAAGCAACGCAAAATGAAAAGATTAAGGTAAACATAGATGAAGAAAGACGAATTCATAAAGTTAACTTCATCGCCGCAACAGTAACTTGTACAAAGTGTATGGAAGATGAGCAAAAATGGCGTTCCTCACTGAAAAATTCTGGGAACAATTGTATAATCTGTGGAGCAAATCGATCAATCACATTTTCACATCGCCCATTTCAACAAACAACAGTTGATGAGCAAGTCATCACACAGCAGCCACTTAAAGACTTTATTCAATGGATTCTTTTTGAACTCAATCCTCAATATTTAACTATGGCATTTTCACACAATGGAGGCCGATACGATATGATTATGGTTTTCAAAGAAATTTATTTGAAAGGTGTTGTTCCGACAATGATTCGTCGCGGCAATAAACTTTATGAATTAAAGATTCCACGTAACAAGAAATGCAATGAGGTTATATTTCGAGATTCATTTAATCTCTGTCCAGTCGCCTTGGGGAAGTTAGTTGGCGCATTTGGACTTCTTGTTACTGAAAAACAATTTTTCCCTCATCTGGCAAATATCCGCGAAAATTATGGAAGAATCCTGCAAAAACTACCTCCAAAAGATGATTATTTGTATGGAGGAATGTCACCTGAAAAGCAAAACGAATTTGATCAATGGTATGAGAAAGAAAAAAATCAGCAATTTTGTTTGGATGAAGCCTTGGCTGAATATTGTACGAATGACGTACAAATACTCACAGAAGCGTTAATTGCCTTCAAAAATAAATTCGCAGAATTAAGCAAGCAGAAAAATACTGCTCCTGGTACAAAGGCAGAGGGAATAGATATTTTACGTGATGCAATGACTATTGCGTCGGCCTGTATGAGACATTTTCGGGTAAACCATTTGAAACCTGATCATTTGGCAATTGTACCCGAAAAAGGTTATGAAAATTGTGATAACCAAAGTGAACTAGCCCTGAAATATTTGCAATGGTACGAGGAGACAAAAGGAGTGCAAATTCAAAGTGCCCATTCCGAAGGAGGTGAACATGTGGTAGCTGAAAAATACAAGGTTGATGGGTACATAGAAGCAGAAGATAGGGCAATTGAAATAAATGGATGTGTTTGGCACGCATGCCAAAAATGTTTTGGAGATGATTTGAATAAAATTTTACCCAATGGAAAAACTGTGGGAGAAACGCGTGAAGATGATTTGAAACGCTTGGAAATAATTAAAAAATATATAAAGAATGTTGATATTATATGGGAATGCGAGATACATCAGATGCTTCGCCGCAACAAGAAAATGAGAAAAGTTTTTGCAAATTATCACAACAAAGGTCCAATAAAGATTAGAGATTGCTATTTTGGCGGAAGGACAGGCCCTTTACAAATCTACTTTGATGCAGACAAAGAAAATCATAAAATTGCCTACTTGGACTTTAATTCGCTTTGCCCGTCAACAATTGCTACAACATCATTTCCGGTTGGGCATCCGAAAGTGCATGTTGTACCTCTAGCTGAACAACAAGTTTATTGGACAAAAAGTGAGCAAATTCCTTTCAAAGGAATTTTGAAAGTATTCATATTACCACCAACAAAGTTGGAAGTTCCTGTTATTCCAGTCAAATTTGATGAACGACTACTTTTTCCGTTATGCAGAAAATGCTCACTTGCATACCCGAATGGTGCAAATATCAAAGATTACAGTTGCCCACACAATGACGATGAGAGGGGATGGGTCTCAACATGTACCTCTATAGAGTTGGAAGAAGCTTTAAACGCTGGGTACAGAGTTACAAGGTTTTATAGGGCGCTTCATTATGAGAAATGGGATGATAATTTGTTCAAAAATTATGTGGCCGAATTTATGGCTATTAAAATTCATGCGAGTGGGTTTCCTGAAGGAATAGAAGGAAAAGAAAATGAGGATAAGTTTATGAAAGAATGTAGAGAAAAATTCGGAATTGAGCTTCAAAGAGAGAAAATGGTCCCTGATAAGGCTATGCGTTACATATCAAAGTTGATGCTAAACTCTCTATGGGGAAGGTTTAGTCTAAGAAATGGCCTATCAAAAAGTGTAGTCATCGACTGCCCTATTGAACTTGGAGAATATGATAACAACAATTCAATTGATATTCAAACTATCGATACTTTGACTAAGGAAACAATTTTGTTGACTTACAAACAAAAGGAAGAATTTATTTTAGAGCATGATACATCAAACATGGTGATATCATTATGGACAACATCGGCTGCAAGAATTAGACTATTGAAGGCGATGCAAAAGGTCGCTGACTCACCAGGCTGCAATCTTCTCTATGGAGACACAGACAGCATACTTTTTTCACATCCAAAGGGCTTCGAATGCCCCCTTCAAACAGGTCCTCACCTAGGTGATTTGGCAAGGGAGTATGCTGGATCTGAAATAAAAGAATATGTTGGAGGTGCGTGTAAGGCTTACGCACTGAAAATGGAGAGTAATAAAAATGCCAAAATAAGCTGTGTTCTTAAAGTACGTGGAATCACTCTAACAGCTGATGTGTGTAAAATTTTACACTTTGACAGTTTTAAGGATAGTGTTCTTCAATATGCAAATGGGGGAGCTGACAGTGAGGAAGATGATGATTTTGATAAAGGGACAATTACAGTGGAAAATCCAAACTTTATTCGTCGAAACTTGAAGGATGGTATGGTTTATTCTACTAAAATGAGAAAAGTTTTTAAACCAATAATTCAAAAAGGAATAATTTCCAATGGCCTCAAAATTCTAAATTTTGGACAAAAATAATTTTTTAACAATATTCTTTCAATTGTTTTCACAAATTTTTGAATTGTAAGTTAGTAATCCAAAACATATTTTTCATTCATTTTGTATTTTATGGAATTGTAATTTAATATTTCAAAATATGTTTTGTTTCACTATTTCACAATTACTTAAATTTTATACATTGTACTTTATTATTTTAATTGTATTTATTTGTGTGACGATAAAACTATTAAAATTAAAAGAATTATAATTAAGATTGAAAATTAAGGGTTAAAATAAATGGTAAGTTAGAGATAAAATTAAGATTGAATTAAAGTTATGGCTTAAAAGTTAAGGTTTATGTAAAGTTATGGATTAGGTTTAAAATAATGTACAGTCGAGGTTTACAAGATAACGACAGAAGATGTTTATTTGTAGGGAAAAATGAAATTTTAACGGCATATTTAATGTAAAGTTAAACTTTAGAATGTACAACTCATCTAAACCTAAGGATTATTAGAAACAATTTTTAAAAATTTAATGTAATTTATCTACTTTTCCACACTTAATTAACATTTCCAAAAATTTTCAATCTTTTTTTGAGTTTTTATCAAAATGATTATACAATAAAACGGAATAATTAAAAATTTTTGTGTTTTCCTAAAGATTAGTGAGGAATATTTTTAAAAATGCGGATTTGCGGATTTTGAGGTCTTTTGAAAATAATGAGATTATTTTTTGTATATACAGGAATATATTTAATTAATTTTATGGTCTTAATGATTCTAATAATTTTTTTGCGGATTTTTGATAAAATGCGGATTTTTTAAGTCAAACTTCTAGATTATTAAAAAGTTCAGATGTGAACCCTGAATTTTTACTTGTTTTTATCATAATGTTGAAAAGTTTTACAGAAATTTTTTGGTTTCAAAAAAGCGGCTTTTAACTAAATTATCAAGAATATATTTAATTAATTAATATATTTAATAAATTTTATTCGTAAATAAAAAATGCCATAATTCGTAATATATAAATATTGAATTAATTTAAAAACAAATATTTTTTAATAAGTGAAAGTACAAAGCGTAATATTTTAAAAATCTAAAATCGAAACTTCTTGAAAGTTTAGAAGGCGAGAATAAATCCTCTGATCTTCAAACGGAAAATTTTAGATTCCATTCCATATGCCCATATTTGATGAGAACCTAATGTAGTAATTCCATTGCAGAATATAATCCTTTTTGTGCCGCTTTTATGAAAGTAGATTGTCTTCAAAGCTTTTCTCTTAATATCATCAAAAATTTTACAATCTTTCATTCTTACAATCTTTCATAATTACTTATTAATTTAAAACGCACAGATTCCTCAGTACAATCCAATTTTTTGAAATATTTTCCAATAAATTTGACATTTTTAATTTAATTATAATTATTTAAAATGAGACTAGAAAAGATTTTTACTCTTTTTTACTGTGTTGTCAAGGCCACACTTATTTACTAGCTCTCTGTTGGCCATTTAAACTCATTTTATCAAATAGTTTAATAATTGTTCTTTCTTCAGAACAGAGGTTTACAATTGAAAATTTAAATTTTTTGATCTGCCAAACATATCTTCTAATAATAGAATTCAATCGAGGAACCGATATTTTACATTTTTTACCAGTTATATCGATTATCGTTCCTGAAAGCCATACATTTTTTCCATATTTATTTCTGTTCTTTACTAATACTATCATGTTCACTTTAAATTGATCGGTGTAGCGTCTCATTATAAATTTTGGATTTTTGGAAATAAACTAGTTTATCCTTATGAATGATTTTTTACTAATGATTTTGAAATGGACGTAACCCTAAAAAAGATTTTGAATGGGCGTGGCCATTTCAAAATCTTAAGTAAAAACCGCTACGAAAAATTGGCAAAATTTTGAAATATATTGAAATACAACTATTTACGAACCCTAGCTTATTTGGGCTTCTCCGACAAAGTGTGTTTGCAAAAAAGATTTATTTCAATAAAAATCCGGGCCCTACTAATGATGATATTATGAAAGTCTGACAATTAGCAGAAAAATTACACTTGAAGTGAGCCCATGATTTCACCGTTTCTACTTGTAGTGAATTGCGTGAGCCAAAAATTGTCACTTTTCAGAGATGCAGGCAAAAATTTTGAGGATTTTGAAAGGCTTAAGCAGAAAAAATTCAATTGTATTAAGCAGATATAAAATTTTTGTAAAGGTTAGAACATTTCACTCATGCTTTATTCTCAAGTTTATGCAGAATTTCCCAATAAACAAATATTTTAAACTCTATTTATTCCATTTAATATATAATAAAATAATTTTGATATCTGCAAAAAAGATCTACACGTTGCAAAATTTAAAAATAAATTTAAAACGATAATATATCTTGTTTTTTAATATTTTAATCAATTATCAATATTGCATATATCCTCAGGTAATGTTAATCTAAAGTTATTATTTTAAAAAATTATTGAACACTGAAAGTATACGAGTGTTTAGGAGGATAGTGGTTTGAGAAGTAGCGAGTATATAAAAGGATCTAGAGTGTTAAAGCATTTGAATAAATATCAGGAATTACGAGTTTATAGTTGATTTCGATGAATAAGAAGATATCGGTGTATTTTGTGAAAAAAGGCGACTATAATATCAGTTTATTCTTCAAACGTGGCCTACTTGCGCCCAACTTTTCTCCCATAATTTAAAAAGAAGGGAGAAGTGTCTGCGCCGAAAAATAAGGAAGAAAAGAAGAAGGAAAATTATACAACGATAGATTTCCCGTTCTATTTTTCTACCCTGCTAAGGAGCATTATGGAAGATTTTTTAAAAATCATTAAAAATCGAAATTTGAAGATAAATTTAACGTTCCTATATTTTTTTATAAAATTTTTGGAAGTTTGTCTTTAAAACTATTTATAAGAATTTTTAACTAAAAGTACCCAATTTTTAGTGATTTTTAAGAAAAATTAATCCTTGTTTTAATTTTTGAAATCAAAGATAATACTCCAATTTATATTTTGGTAAAAATTAAAAAGTTATCGTTTTTCAATAGGGAAAAATAAGAAAAACAGCGACGTTAAACCCGCGGCGTTAGGCCACATCGGCGCTGTTGTTACGATTGTTACCTAACCACCTTATTTTAGGGACCTGGGCTGGGTACCACATATGGAATTTAGTAAAATTAATTAATTCAACCCGAGTAATCGGTTAGATGAAATAATAGGAATGATTGAAAAATATATGAAAATGAATAAGATTAAATTTTTACTGTTAAACAGTTAATAATAATAATAATTGTTAAAAATAATCTCCTAAGTTATCAGAATATATTTACGGAGACAATTTGCTAACTCACTGTGACAAATTGCTATACTCACTGTCCTAACCATAAACTTATTAGGTTTGCATAAAGACACACATCCGATACAGATCCACAGCAAAATTCCCGATTTAGGGAAATCGTGATTCTCGAGAAAAATTGAATTTTTTGGAAAAATTTCCCGTTTAAAAAACGTCGAGATTCATGATTTTCTGACTTACAGGATTTTTGCTAGTCAATGGCGGATATCAATGCCAGAAATTGAGGTAGAGAAGGTGCTACTATCTAAACATTCGTAGTGCCTTTTAATAAAAGAATAAATTTACGGTTATTAAAAGCGATTAAGAGTAACTTTAATCAACCTACGGCCCTCCAACTCCTCTAATTGCTAGGGCTAAGGTTGCTAGGGCTAAGGCTAGTATCTTCAGTTGACCAGCTGTTCTTCAGTTGATCGGCTTCAGTAGATCGACTGACATATTTCTTACTTTTTTAACACCACAGGCGAAAATTTTGAGAATTTTGTAAGGACAATAGGCCAGATTTCACCCATTTTCAGCGCCAGATATAATAGGAAAATTACAGAAAATTCCCGATTTTCAAGAAAAATACGGGAATCGAGAACGTGAATTTACGAGAGACGCAATGAACACGCCAAACATTCGTGTGTACCAATGCATTTGATCTATATTTTGATTAATTTTACTAAAAATACTTGCTATTTTTCTTAACTTTACATCAGTTTTTACTTTTAATCCTTAAGTTTATATAAATCGTATCTTCTAATCCTTAAGTTTACGCAAATCTTATCTTATAATGCTTAACTTTGAATTTCTGCACCAAAAACCTACATCTTTCATTCCTTAACTTTTACTGAATTGTATCTTGTAATTCTTAACTTTTCAACAACCTTATCTTCCAATTCTTAACTTAAAATTAATTGTGTCTTTTATCTTTTAACTTTACTTTAATTGTATCGTCTAACTCTTAACTTTACAAGAATTTTATATTAAATCTCTTAACTTTACATAAGGTTTCTACTCTATATCGTAATTTATGCCATTATATTATGCGTGCAAAAGATAATGTCGTGTCTACAATCATGCACTACCACAACAATGAAAGTCCGCATATTGTTACATTCCCCATATAGACGCAATGCACACGCCAAAGATTCGCATCTACCAATTATTTTTTGATTAATTTTACCAAAAATGTTTGCTATTTATCTTAACTTTACACCAGTTTTAACTTTTAATCCTTAAGTTTATATAAATTGTATCTTCTAATCGTTAAGTTTACATAAATTTTATATTATAATGCTTAACTTTGCATTTCTACCCCCAAAACCTATATCTTTCATTCCTTAACATCATATCAATTGTTTCTTCTATTGCTTAACTTTACAGCAATCTTATCTTGTAATTCTTAAGTTTACATCAATAGTATCTTTTAGTGCTTAACTTTACAGTAACATTCTCAAAATCTACGCCTTCCGTCTCTTATCATTACATAATTTTATCATCTTTTGTTTAACTTTACGTGAATTTTATCTTCTAATTGTTAAACTTGCAAGAAACTAAATGCTTGGCCTTCTAAAATTTTCAAAATGTACAAATGCGCCGCAAAAATATAAGAAATTATGTGCTCAGCACAGGTCGAAGCTCCACACCTCAGGCCGGAGCTCCAACCGTAGGCCGGAGCTCCACACCGTAGGCTGGAGCTCCACACCTTGGGCCGGAGCTCCACACCTCAGGCGTGAGATCCCCAACATTTTTCAAAATTTTCGCCTGCGGCGCAGATAATGGATGAAATCATACTTAATTGTCTTTCAAATTTTTCAAATTTTTTGCCTGCGGCGCAGAAAAAGAATTTGGTCATATTGGTGGAATACAGGGAAATTTTGTTGGGGGGAATTGAGGGAATAAATTTTGTGGATAACAGATTTGGAGGGTAACCAGGAAATATGCCTACAAATCTCTAAACACTCTTAATATCGGGTGATTTAAAGGGATTAAGATGGATATCTGTAGATTTGAGGTCTACTCTTGTCTTCTTATTTCTCTAAATAAAAAATAAATTTAAAAAATTGAACTTAAAAAAATATTTTTTCAATATGTGTAAAAATAAATAAAAAAAATTAAAGATTCAGGATTTAGATTAAAAGTGCCCATTTAATCTAACTACTTTATCTGCGGACTATTTTAAACGAAAAAAATTGAAAAATAAAGAAAATAAATTTTTAACCAATAAATTTAAATTATTTATAATTCCAATTTTTATTAAGATTTTTAAAATTTTTATCTCGAATTTCGAAAAACTTTACGAAATTTTAATTTTTTTAATTTTAGAAGAATTTCCACAAACAGAAAAATAAAGATTTAACAATTAAATGTTTATTCTTTAATTTTTCCCGCAAATGACCTTGGAAGAGGGAAAAACGTCAATATCTTTATTTTCCCCTTATTTTTTAATTTTTTGTTTAATGTTTTTTTGTTTTTCCTTTACTTATACCCTCACATAGAGACAAAGGTTTGTCAAATCATTAGGTTTCCTTTTGTTTTCCCGCAAGTTTCTCCCAAATTTCCCACTGGTACATGTGGGAAAGGGAGAAATTAAAGCGGAAACTTGTACAAGAAAAGGTTTCCTTTTGATAGGTTTCCTTTAGATTTACCGCCAATTCCTAGCTGGAACATGTGGGACAACAGAGAAATTTAGTTACAGTTAACTTCCCCCACTTCCCCCTTTGATCATCTTCATCCACCCACAAATTTGCTTGTACTTGTACAAGCAAAGGTTTCCTTTTGTTTTACCGCCAGTTCCCAAATTTCTCACTAGGACATGTGGGACAACAGAGAAATTTAGTTACAGTTAACTTCCCCCACTTCCCTTATCATCCCCATTCAGCCGCAAAATTTGCTTGTACTTGTACAAGAAATTTTCAAGGTCATTTCCTTCCCAACACCCATCGGTCCCACTGGGACGGATGGGAGCAGAAAACCCCTTCCCCCTGCCCCCCATCTCACATGCGACATGTGGGCGTATGGGGGGGGTTTACTACTCCTTTTTAATAATATTTTCAGTCGAAAGACGTTATACGACCTTTATGTAACCATACCATAAGCTAAAAGAATGCCCTTACTTAAAATGTAGCTTAAACCAAAAGCACCTCTTTAACAAGTCTTTTTCTGAGGTTTCTAGTTGTTTTTCTTCGTCTACTTACAAGACTATTAAATAATAATGCGATAAAGACTGCGCACTTGCAATTTACTAATTTTTCTTTTTATTTTACCGGACACGTATTCATTGGATAGGCGCCGACGGTCCTGACCCCGTCGCTGATGGAGAGGTGCACATGCAGTGAACTGACCCCACACTGAGGAGTCCTCGTTTCCTCCATTGTTGTTGTTATTATTATTCCCATCATTCCCATTATTGTCGTTCCCTCCATTCCCTGTGTTTATCCCTCCCGCACGTTCCCTCGCTATCCATTCTAGCCAAGGTGCCATCCAAAAATCGCCTAGAAGGAGGGTGGCTGGATCCGCAGCAGAAAATGACCGGCAAGGCTTTCGAGGGTTTATGTCCTTTTCTGAGGCTTCTGGCTGTTTTTCTTCGTCTGATTTTTCTAGAAAATTTTAGTTCCTTTAAAAAGGGTTTTATAATAACCAGCAAGTTTAGGGCTCGAGGATTTATATCTTCTTTCTTCCGGTGAGGTTGATGGACGACGAGGTAGTAAATTTTTGAATTGGCGTTGTTTAGGCGGAGGATGAGCATTTGGGGGAGCTGAAATGTTTCATAAAAAAGAGATTACTATTCTAAATATTTCCCTATTTTTTCAAATTCACGGGAGGGACTATGAAACTAGGCCATTTAAAAAGTAATGCAGTGCAATCAGGATTTTATACATATGGAAAATTTTTTCAGCTTTGTTAATTAGTAGTCAACTCCCTCATAATGTCAGCGAGGAGCGAAGATTTTTAAATATAGATGACCCATCCACAGTCCGACGTCAATTTCCTTCAAACGTTGGAAAAATTTAATCTTTATCTCAATCTACAGTAAGCCTCTCTCAATAATGACCCTTCGACCCTTTTATACATAAGGGAGATGACTGAACTAATTATTTATGTGCAAAAAGCATAGGGAAAAATTTAAAAAAAACATAAAAACATATTTTAGAGACCTGTAAGTGTACCTAGGGAAGAACTGTTCCCCACGGGACGATGTTGTCCACAGTCACTATCCATAATAGCTGAAGTTGTGGACATTGCCAAGGCGGAAATGCTCTTTTTGTGGTGGGAATAACTGCTTAAAAAGAAAATTTCTGAAATTTGTAAAAATCAGAATTCTGGTTTAGAACAAAATTCAGATTTTATTATCATACAAAATTATGATTGGAAAATCAAAAATCAGAATACTATAAAGCATATAGCTATTTAATTCCTTAGGCTGTGCGTAGGCGGCGTGGTGTAATGGCTAACATATCAGTCCGGTCTACTGAAGATGCTGGTCTCCCAGCCGCCTATTAACCTTTTGCACTAGCTAAAGGAGAGAAAGAGCTAATACTTAATAAGAATTACTTTCTATTGTTGCTCTTGTTACTACTGCTCTTACGCCAACTTCCAAGTGAGAATCCTAAAGCACCCAAACTTTCAATTTCACTAAGAGTATCTGAAGCTGATACAATGCTAAAAAATAATTTAAATAATTTTTAATATTTAAGGTGTAGGTAAAATTCCGTCTGTCTTCCATAATCCGATTGAGACGAACAATATGTCATTTATAGACAATCTCTTTCAAATGAGCTATCATTTGCATATACGAATTTAGCCGAAAAAATCCGGTTGGTTCCCTAGAGTTGACGGGGGGACCAACCGGATCCCCCTAGAGTCTTGGTCCACCTAGAGTTGACTTTTCCAAGAATAAACCAAACCTAGACACTCGTTTGTATATTTGATCATTTTGAGACCATAACTCGAATCTCACTATTTCACTAACCATATTTATGCTACAATTGGGACTAAAACTTATTATAGGGGCACTTAACTTGCTCATCGAGCCCTTTCAACTGACACAATTTGGTCACTTTCGGATTATAGAAAATGTGACGGAATTTTTCCTCAATTTAATTGCCTTATATTATCAGGAGGTCTGTTAGGTACAAACAAAGTCCTGACATTTACCCCACAAAGTGTGTCTGTCGGTGTATCATCTAAAAATTTTTTATTGAAATGCCATTTTGATAAATTAACAAAAATCCGAATTAACCTTCAGCTCCAAAATCAGTACTTAATGGGGCAGGAGGCGGTTTTCTTCTGGCACTTTGTCTTATTCGGTTGATTAAACTGTTGTTTTGACCGTTTGGGGCAGATACACAAGGCCTGATTCTTCTAAAATAAAATGTAGATTGTAATGTATCAGAGGGGTCAATATTTTTTAGTCTATGAGGTAGTTTACTATCTCATAGATTGTATACGGTATGAGTTATTATAGAAACCCAAACCTCTTTTGGGCAGCACAGAACCCGAGCTCTTCGACCCAAAGGATCGTCGCTTATAACTAATGCTGACGATTCTGGTATCTGGAACCGTTTCCGGTTATTCTAAATTTTGTTTAGGTTTTCGGTTCCGGATGACCGGAAATTCCCTCTACTTGTATGCTGAGATTCCCTCCCCCTCTCTTTTTCTTCAAAAGTGAATGATTTTAAATTTAAGGTGCCATTGTGCGTAAAGTGATATTAGTGATAAAAACAAAATATATTAAGGTGCTAACTTTATGTGTGTGCCCTTGATTTTAGAATTAAATAATAAAAAGGTTGAGCTTACTCCGTCGCATCAAACACCGTCTCAGGCATTGACTGCTGTCTTAAAGACGCCTTTTCCTTCAAAAGTGAAAAATTATCCCCCTCTTCCATCTTTTCCTCTCTTCCATCCCCTGATATTAAAGAATTTGAAGTTGAATTAGTAGAGGAGGACGAGCTTGAGTGAAGGGAACATTCCTCTCCTTCCTCAACATTTTGAATGTTTAGTAGCCTTTGTCGTTTCATTCCAAGCTCAATCAAGGGCAACGACACCATTACGCTTGGTGGAATGTCTGTCTGAACTCCTTTGACTTTTGACCGTCTTCTCACTTTAGAAGGACGCCCTTCTTCTCCCCCACTCTCTAAAGCAACGATTTCAACTTGCTGAGGCCTATTTGCTTGTATCAAGCCTAGAGAGCGTCGAAGACGCAAAGAAAGATTGCGGCAAGAAGTAAAGGCTTTAATAGAAGATTGAGTAGATTTGGCTTGTTTTGGCGGTTTGTTGCAAGGACTGAAACAAAAGAAAGTGTTTGTGTGTGAAATAGTGCATCGTGCTTTCGGGATATCGCAATTCCTACATACAACCATTGTCGAGATTCGGAAAATTCTGAATTTTACCTACCCATACCTGTAGATTGTCAGGTCTAAATACAGTCCACTGCATTTGTAAGTCACCCTCCACAAGATTCCTAATTAGTTCACTCTCCTGGCATCACTTGTATGTCACTCTAATTTTAATATAAGATCTAACTCTAATTTAAAAGTGGTGCTAAATGTGTTTATGTATACTTTCCATTGTGCCAGTGAGTGACTTAAAGTGATATGACTGTATTGTGAAAAAAAACGAAAAGTGATTATGTGGCCTTTGACCGCTGAAAACTCGACATTTGATCATTAGTTATAAAATCGGGATAAATATGCATTTATCGAATATCCCGATTAACGAAGTCCATTTCCGGATAACCGCCCGCAACAAGCCTAAATTTAGGCGTCCTTAACGAACTTTTTTAATAAGGGCTTTATACTTTTTGAATAACTAGATTCCATCTTTATTTCAAAAATTAGCCAATTTTGATCTTTTTTGTTAAAATGGTTCTATTTTAAGCTTAGCTTTGTAACCCTTATTATCGAAAAATCATCAAATGTCGAGTCCTCAAGTCTCAGGGTAAGTGAGTAAAACAAAAATTATATAACGGAGTGTATGTGAATAAATAATTTAAAATATTAAAAAAACTTACATTATTGGAGCAGGCTGCAAATAGACTTTCCAGGTTGCCTGGCTTCTGCTTTCGGGTTGAGCACTGAAATAAATTTATTGTTTTTGAAAAATTTTTCCTTAATATTTTTGTATTTAGCATATGTATATTGGTTTGAAGGGTTTTCGTCCTTCGGAACTTTCGTCTTCAATACTTTACGAATTTACATCCGCCGATATGTAATATGTATGTTTAACAGCTACAGCTTACTTCACTATATTTTAATATTTTATAAACTTATTTAGTTATTTATTCTTTTAAATAAAGTGCAAACAAAGCTTAGGCACATTTTAATTATGCTCATACAATCCATACAATAGTACAATCCTAGAACTGAAGCTGTTGACTATCTCTTTTGTCCTCCTGCTTTTGTCATTCGCGCCAAGTCTGTTACAACTGAAGTTGCCGAGCTCTTACACGAGATCTATCGCACCTCACCACGAAATAAAAAGTAGATGAAGATTGTAGATATAGGAAAAGAATGAAGAGAGAGAACTAACTATCGTGTAGATTTTATACTATACTGACACCACTACACCAAAACTTGGTTCGAATCAGAACCATTAAATCCTTTATGAAATAAACAAAAATATAGATGAATTTTTCAGTATTAAACGAAGAAAAAAATTAAAAAATATTAAACGAAGCACACATTTAATACATTTAGAAGTATCTAAAAATTTGATGCATATGTATATTGTATTTAATCATAAATTTTCTCAGCAATCTTTATTTTGCAGTCTTTGTCCTTAAAAATCTTCTTAATCCTCCTCAGGTTTCTTGTTCAAATCAAAAGGATACTCATTTAGATTTATTTGATTTATGACATTTTCACCAAGTTTAGTTGGCTCTTCCACCACAATTTGATTTAACTCATCAACAAAAGTTTTTACTTCCTCCGTATTACTTTCTTTTTCTTCATCTTGAGGAAGATTTCCTTCTCCAGTCAGAAAGTCCTCTTCGCAGATAACTGGTAATTTCGCCTTGTTGCTAGAATCACCAATCAGTTGAATATCAAAAGAACATCCTTCATTACCAGTTTTAATATTTTTCAATTTTGAACCGTCATTATGTAGAATTTTCTTTTCATTTCTCTTTTTTTGACGGTATCTTCGTTGATACTCCATCCTTTTTTGTTTATTATCTTGTCGATATTTTCGATCATATTCTTTCTTATTTTCTTTATTCTTTTCGAGGTTAATTTGGACTCTTTCTTTATTCATTTTATTCCAGTTTCGACTAGTTTCGATAATCTTTTCTTTATGCTTTTGGTAATAATCTTTATTATATCCTTTTTTCTTTAACTTTTTATCTTCTTCCGTATATTTACTTTTGTCTTGTTTTACAATTTTAGGTTTTGGTTTTAACGTTTCTTTATATTTTTGAATTTGATGAGCAACCGATGATTTTGCCCCATCATTTAATTCTTTATTTAAATCCTTCGAGGGTTCCTCAACTCTATTTAACTCATTTTGATTTTTATTATTTTTAACAGAATTAATTAAACTCCATAATATTGAATAGAAAATTAAAAAGAATAAAATATTAATAAGTTTCATCCTGAATTAATTTTTAAAAATTTTTAAAGGTTAATTTGTTTATAACGAAAAATAATAAAGAAATAATTATTAACTTAAACTTTGACACTTAATATTATTTATTATTTAAATTAATAAATGTAATTAAAGCTTAAGCCGGAATATGACTTAAAGACAGACATTTATGAAAAATCAAAGGGCATTTATTAAGTAAACAATTTCCTTTAAATCATTATGGGAAAAGCAAATTTCGGAAATGAAAGTACACTGTCCTATTATTACAAAATAAAATGTATTTAAAATTTCTTTAGGACCTCTACAACTTAGTGCGGTGAGTGACTAGGACGCTACCACCAATTCGAAAAGTTATAGAGGTTTTTTTCTCCCGCCTTTGTTTTCCCTATTAAACAATTATTTTTAACAATGATTTATTCATTTAATTTTAACGATTACAACGATGAGGTTCTAAAATAAAATGGTCAACGCATATATTTATGGTACAACAAGAACAACGAATTAACGAGGGCTTGCTACTGTTGCAAATTAAAGATATTTTCGTTTCGAAAACGATATTTGGAAGGAGTCGTAAATAGAAATCTCTACTAATCCCAAAAATCCGAAAAGTTTTCAAGCATAGCGGATGAAGTCTTTAAAAAATGGAGCCGAAAACATGAAATGAGTTTCATTAAGTATTCTTCCTATGCTGGTACAGTGAAAGATTATAATTATTAAAAGCTGTATTACACCGGTTCACTACGCTCCCTAGAGGCTCTAAATGTTTCTAAAGTATGTCGTTTTATTTCCCCAAACTTTTGAAAAGTAGTTCCTCTTGGGAAAAGTATTCTATTATTCTTACGATCTCTTCATTACTTTTTAATTTTTTGAGGTGGTTTAGAATATATTTCTAAGTTTGACCGGACTTTGTCAATCGGTCAATTTCGAGCTGAGTCTCAAATATGTATTTTGATTTTGTAGTATTCCTATTTATCGTGTAGACAACTATCTTCCATATAACTATCAAAAGATATATAATTTGATCAGGTCTTAATGGGAATAATTACTACTATTTTCAAAGCCTTTTAGACCGGTATTTTTAATAAATTAAGACAAAAAATTAATATTTTTGTATATTTTTTTCTAGATGTTATAATTAAATTTTTCTATTTCAATATTATTTGATTTTTTAAATTTCCTAGCTTCCCCAGTTGAATCCATATTAAATCCAATCAGATCAATCGAATTCGTTTTATCTCAAAAATCATAGGGAGGAGAAAAGAAGAAAGCAAAGGGAGAAGAAAAGGAGAGAAGGAGAAGAGCATTGCTAGAATTTAATGCTGACATTATGATAAGAGCAAATTTTTGAATTTATACGATAAAAATGATTTATTCTTTGAATTCTAAAAAAATCAGACACATATGAATAGTTGCGTTTAATTATAAATTCTCTCGGCATTAGTTTTTCTATTATTTCTTCATTTTTAAATATCGTTTGCTTCCTCCTCAGGTTTCTCGTTCAGATCAAAAGGAAACTCATTCAAATTTATTTGATATATGTCATTTTCAACAAGTTTATTTGGCTCTTCCACCGCAGTTTCATTTTGCTCATCTACAAAGGTGTCTACCTTATCCGTATTATTTTCTTCCTCTCCTTGAGGTAGTGGAATGAATTCTTCCTCTCCTTCTTCTTCCTCTCCTCGAGGAAGAAGAGTTCCGCCTTCAGTCTGAAAGTCCTCTTCGCAAATCACTGGCAATTTCCCCTTATTGCTACAATCAATTGCCACTGAATTATCAAATGAACATCCTTCATTACCAGATTTAATATTTTTCAATTTTGAACCGTCATTCTGTAGAATTTTCTTTTTATTTCTCTTTTCTTGACGGTATCTTCGTTGATATTCTGTCCTTTTTTCTTTATTATTTTGTCGATATTTTCGATCATATTCTCTAGTCCTTTCTTTATTATTATTTCGATATACTTGCCTTTTCTCTTTATTAATTTTATTCCAGTTTCGACTAGTTTCGATAATCTTTTCTTTATGCTTTTGGTAATAATCTTTAGTATATCCTTTTTTCTTTAACTTTTTATCTTCATCCGTATATTTACTTTTGTCTTGTTTTACAATTTTAGGTTTTGGATTTATCTTTTCTTTATATTTTTGAATTTGAGGAGCAACCGATGATTCAGCCCCATCATTTAATATTTCAGTTAAATCCTTTGAGGGTTCCTCAACTCTAACTAACTCGTTTTGAGTTTTATTATTTTTAACAGAATTAATTAAACTCCATAATATCGTATTAAAAATTAAAAAGAATAAAACACTAATAAATTTCATTTTGTAATTTAATTGTTTAATAATCTAATATAAATAAATTAATTAATTTTTAGTTTCAAAAAAACTAAATTCGTGTTAATTAACAATTAAAATTAAATGTTAGACTAAATAATATTTAAAATAATAAAATTATTTATTATTTTATTATAAGGGAATATAAATTTATATTTTATTTAGCCATATATCTAAAGAAATGGATAATATAAAAACACAAATACAAAAGGGCAACATAGATATATAGTCGAAATATTAATTACTGATAGACAGATTATGAAATTCGAATGACAATTTCCTGTGAAATTGTGTGTGAATGACAATTTCACAATAACTTAAACATTAAAATATGTGAAAAACAAATTTTGAAATAAAAGGAAAGGAGGTAAAAAATTACTAAATAGAAACCACAATTAGGCCCAGTAATAGAAGCTAGAGTGACACTTGGTCTTGAGTATTGACTTAACTACAATTTTTGGGTTATTGGGTTTGAGTCATGATCTCGAATTACTTGAGCTTAATTCTTTTTTGCCCATGGCAATGAAAATCCTAGTAATTTTTTCACTGCTTTATATTATTTCCTATAAATTCTTCGAAATTGATAGAATAAGATTTAAAAATGTGCAAAAATTTTTCATTTAAAAAGTTATGAATTTTTGCAGATTATCGGTTAGTAACGAGCAGGGCTGTGCGTCATGGCGTTTGGCGTTTGGCGTTTTGCGTTTTGGCGTTAATTTTGGCCGATTTTTGGCGTTTTGCGTTTGGCGTGATTTTCCGATTTTGGCGCGCCAAACGCCAAAAATATACACCCCTAATGATGGAATTTTTTTAAAATAAATGGAGAAAGGGATGATCGAAAAAGGAAATTTTTCTCCATACAGTCATCCAAAATTCTCAAAATTTTTGCCTGCGGCGCATAAAAAATGAAGAAATCTACTGCTTGGACTTCCAAAATTTTCAAAATTTTCGCCTGCGGCGCTTAAAGGAGGAAGCCCTTATCTTAAACTAATAGATGGTAGAAAAAAACTTTAGTCCCGTCAATCGTTTACTCTCTTCATGACCTCTGTTATATTCATTACTCCCTTTATCCCTTCATATCCACCTTAATCTCAAGGAGTTCTATGAATTTCTTATTTTTTTAAATTTTTTAAAGGATGAATTTCGGCTTCTTTGCCTCCAAAATTCTCAAAAATTTCGTTCCGGCGGTAAAAAAGGATGAATTCTGGCTTCTGGGAATCCTGAAAATTCAAAAAATTTCGCCTGCGGCGCTAAAATGAGATGAACAGTGGTTTTTAAGTTTTTATAGACTCTAAAAATTTTGGCGTTTGGCGTTTGGCGTTTGGCGTTTTGGCGTTGATTTTGGCCGATTTTTGGCGTTTGGCGTTTGGCGTGTTTTTAAAATTTAAAAAATTGGCGTTTGGCGCGCCACGCGAAAATTTTGGCGCACAGCCCTGGTAACGAGTAAAGATTTAATAAATATATTTGTATTTAATTTGAAATTCTCCCGGCATTCGTTCATTTACAAAATCTTCTTTTTTAAATATCTTCTTCTTCCTCCTCAGGTTTCTCGTTCAGATCAAAAGGAAACTCATTCAAATTTATTTGATATATGTCATTTTCACCAAGTTTATTTGGCTCTTCCACAGCAGTTTCATTTTGCTCATCCACAAAAGTTTCTACTTCATTCGTATTATTTTCTTCTTCCCCTCCTTGAGGATGATTCCCTTTTTGAGTCTGAAAGTCCCCTTCGGGAATAACTGGTAATTTCGCCTTATCGCTACAATCACCAATCTGTAGATTATCAAAAGAACATCCTTCACTACCAGATTGAGTTTTTTTCAATTTAGAACCGTCATTTTGTAGAATTTTGTTTTCATTTCTCTTTTTTTGACGGTATTTTCTTTGATATTCCGCCCTTTTTGCTTTATTATCTTGACGATATTTTCGATGATATTCGTTATTCTTTTCTCTATTATTTTTGCAGTAAATTTGTCTCTTCTCCTTATTCATTTTATACCAATTTCGAGCATTTTCCTTATAATTTTCACTATTTTTTTGATAATTCTTTTTATCATATTGCTGTTTTTTAAACTTCTTTTCATCTTCATCAACTTTAGTTTTGTCCTTTTTCGAAATTTTAATTTTTGGGTTTAACGTTTCTTTATATTTTTGAATTTGAGGAGCAACAGATGATTCAGCCACATCATTTATCATCGCCTGATCCTTTGGCGAATAATCATTTTCAGCATTTATTGTTAGACCATTTTGTTTTGAATTATTTTTAACAGAATTAATTAAACTCCAAAATATTGAATTGAAGAATAAGAAGATTAATAAACAAATAAATTTCATTCCGAAACCACTGTAAAGCATATAGCTAGTAATTTCATAAGGCTGAGCAGTAGGCGGCGTGGTGTAATGGCTAACACATCAGTCCGATCTACTGAAGATGCTGGTTCGCTCCCAGCCGCCGAATAACCTTTTGCACTAGCTAAAGGAAAGAAATAGCTATAGCCCAGCTGCTTTACTCCACTCTGTAACAAAAATGATAGCTCCACAAATTTTTACTAATATCCCAATAAATATGAAACGGATCATGTAAATAGACTAAAAAAAGATAAAAAAGGAACTAGGACCTTATCTCATTTAAGTGTCGAGATCTAGATATCCTGAAAATTAACATAAAAAATCTTTATGTTCACTAATTTAATGTTTAAAATATTAAATTATCATAGATAGAAAAAGAATATTTATTTAATTTAGCTTTCTTATATCTAAAGGAATGGATATTTTTATAAAAGTGCAATAATGATAGAGAATCTAAATATTAATTAATGATAGACAGATAATGAAATTAAAATGTGAATTTCACAATATTAGGTGTCTAATAAAAACTTACATTAATGAACAATAAAAACAATGGGAAAGAAATTAATGGAAATTAAATCAGAATATCGCAACTCAGAATACGGTCCCGTCAGATCACTACTGAACTAATTCCCCAATATTTTAAACACCATAATCAAGAGAAAATCCAGCATGGTTAAATTTTGAATCGAGGCTTGGATGTTTATGAGAAAAATTTATGCTTTAATAATCTCGCGCTCCAAAACCTAGTCCCATTCCTTCTACTTTATTGTATTATTTTTGAGATAAATCTCACTTGTTAGTTAATATCTGTATTCAATTATTCCTTGGAAACAACCAGTCTTAGATCTTGTACTTGGTACGAAGTCAAGTGTTAATCAGAGAATTTTTTACCGTTCCACAACTGAGGAAGTGTAAAAAAGTGAAATTTTAGGAAGAAGACTTTACTATCCTTGGTATAAAGTACGATTATGAGTAATATCAAAATTTCCAGGAATTTTAGTGACAAATTTAAAAAAATATAGGACGAAAGTTCTGGGAGCGAAATTTCCTCAACTTGTGAATTTTTTTCAAAGATTTCTGTTTGGCTTTTTAAAATTTTTTTTTTAATTTTTAAAAGCATTTCTTTCCAAGTTTGAATAATTTAACAAAGTTTACCAATAATGCCTCCACAAGCACTGAATAAGCCTTGCAGCAGGCACCCTTCTTCTAATCAAATGTTTTTGCCGTTGATGTTGTTGGACTTTTAAAGCAAATCCAGGGCCGAGTATTCCCTTTATTGGATAAATTTATTAAAAAAATTTTTTCTTTAATTTAACTGCAGGTAAAGCAAAAAAAGATATTCCGAGAAGGGCAGAAACTGCACAAATTATTTTGCCTGGCCAAGTCATTGGGGTAACATCTCCGTAACCAACGGTAGAGAGTGTTATCTGTAGTTAATTGGGAATTTTTAATTGTATTTTCTAGTTTTGCACTAACCACTCCCCACCATAAAGCATCAGCAAATGATGTGTATTTATCTGAAAAATATTTTTAACATTTTAAATTTTGTAATTTATAAATGGTTAAAGCCAGCCGTCAAGTTGACTAACGATGTGTTGGCTCGTTCCGTTTTGAAAAGAATTTTAAACAGAACTAGAAATGTGATTAAAGCACTATCTAAACCGCATGGATTATAACTTGGCTTGTCATCTATGGATTAGAAAATTTTGGAATAATTTGACGTATCTCCTCGAGCTACGTTTGCATGTATCAAACATAGAAAGTGAAATATTTTAGTTGTTTGTAATTCTATACTTTTAACGGAGACGCATGAATTTACTTAGGAAGCTACACTTCCTATCCAAAAATACACTGTAAGTTCCTACAACTATAAGCCAATAGCGGCGATTTTAAAATATTTAAATAATTTTTTAATTATATTTTTTAATATTAAGTACAATTAAATATTTTTATTTTTAATTTATATTCTCTTTTTCCATTTTCTGATTATTTTTCGTATTTTTGGGCTACCGGGATGAGATTTACATTAGATTTCCAAGTCCAAATTTTATAGTCGTTTCTCAATTATAATTTTTGCCTACCATTATAATTCTTCTCGCAGAGATAAACAAGGAAAGAAGAAAAAATTAGCCCCAGAAAGCCAATATATAGAGTAGACAGCAATTCTTGGCGATGTGCCCAAACAACTGAACCAAGCAATTTCCAGGTTCCAGCCCTCCTATCAATTCGAAGCATTCTGAGTATTTGGAAAAAGCGAAGGCCACGGATGGCTGAGGCTGCGAATACCTGAGATTGAAACGAAGTTTAGTTAAAAGTGGCCAAATAATTACGATATAATCAGGGAGCTGAAAAGTCGGTCTTATAAGGAGAGGTATCTTATATTGTTTGTATCGCTTAACATCTCCACTTACCCAATGCCAGCTAAATGGGGTGTATCCTGAATAGAGATGTAGCTTCTATTGGGAGGTACTTAACTGGAGGTATAAATATCTCAGGTAGAGCTCTATAATAAATAAGGTGTGCCTTTTAGGTACTTATGCCATTGCTTTCCTCTACCCAGTTTTTTACTTGATAGATGATGTACAGGAATTTTAGAAAATCCACCAGAATAAATTACTGACCTTCTTGTACAACAAATAAAAATTGGTTGAGGGAAAAGGCATAAGTCCGTCTTTTATTAGCTAAATCTTTTAAGAGGCTTGACCGTATACCATAAAATTTGATTAAAATACCTGCCCAGTGGCACCCATACATAGGACCACTAAAGAGGCCGTTATCACAATTATGTCTGAAAAAAAATTTTAGGGTCATTAGAGTATGGAAAAGTGATTAAATTACCAATAATGCAATAAGCAGATGTTCCAAAACGTATTCGGCCGGCAACACCTTAAGCATTGGGTAATATTTAAACTCAAAAAATTTTTTTTCCTCAACCTCGATATCTGCTACGACACCCAGCAGACCATATCCGGCATACATACTCTATAGCCAACCAAAAAACAAAAATAATTTCCTGGGAGAAAAAGTGGACGTTATAGTGCTCTCAAAGTTTCTCGTCTAAACTTACTGTATAATAAAGAGTGAGAGTTGCTTGCTCCTCAAATTCGGGTATAGTACTGAACACGCTCAAAGCTAGGCACATTAGGACCATTACTAAACTGAAACACGAAAATATTTTAGATTATAAAGTTCTTGTATTACTCAGGGTAGCCGGTGGTCTTCGATAGAATCGTGCCGTTTCCAAAACCCCCAAGAAGATTGTTTAACTTGAAAGGGATAGTGCCGTTCCGATTCCCGAAAATTGGGGCGAGAATTCAAGTTTGCAAAGCAAGTAATATAATTTTCCTATCGGAATGATCGTGATTCGTACCCTTAGAAGAAGCTATAACGAGAGCCAGTTTCGGGCCTCTCTTCAATCTTCATAAGGGGTACATCCCGATATACCGCCGAGCTATAACTTCGTTCAAAATTGTCGAATCCGGGACACACTGGTATAATTCGATTCAGCTCGACGAGCAGCATCTAACCATGCCAGGGCGTCTCGGATCCGACAATTCTGAAAGAAGTTATAGCTCGGCGGTATAATGGGCTCGTGGTATATCGGCCTGCTCCCCTTCATAAGCTATACACGTGTGTCGATTCAGCACGTATCCCTCCTTTCCCCTGCTTTATAAAATAAGAAAATATTATTTTGACGAACTTACACAGCCAAATGATAGCTTGCTGCCTTCCACCCTCTCGGTCTCTCAAGAAAATTGTGCATTTTAGACTGGACCCGCCTAAAGCGTTGATCGGTTCTATAATTTTTGTAAACCAAAGGCTTCCCAACAATTGACATTTTGCGCACTTCAGAGGTGCGATGACTATTTAAACGAGGAAATTTTGGTTGAAAATGTGTTGAGGGGTTGGGTGGTTGGAGAAGGCAAAGATTGCTGTTGGAGTTTGTTAATTTCTGTGGGGATAGAGGTTGTTGTTGTTGACTTGTTTCAATGTTTATGAATGTTGATGTTTCTGCTTTTGATACTGCTAAAAAATTTTTACTTAATTAAATTTTTTAAATTAGTTGGGTTTATTCGCAACCAACATTTGAACAGAAAAGCCCAAATTTAAATAAAAAAATTTAGAGAGCTTAATTACTCTCTTTCAAAAATAAAAATTCGCTGCAGCATTCTAATGGTAACAAATATGGTAATAGGAATTTAAATAAAACTATAATTAACTTAATAGATATTGTGTAAAATTTAATTTGTTTTTATTAACTTTTTGTATCTTAGCCTGGGTCACATTTTTAAAAACATAAATTTTATTGGTTTAATTTTAATAAAATTCTAATTTAGATACTTTTCTTCTATTTCCGTTTTAGTTGTATCTGAATAATTATAGATAAATAAGTTCATCTGATTAACAGAATGATTTTCTGAAACAGATAATTCACCCAATGGGAACATGTAGGAGTGAATAAATTTAGTTCATTCTATTCCCTTAGAAAAAGAAAAACATAGACCACAAACTATCATAAGAATAAATAAAAGACTTAAAATAATAATAATAAGTATGATTCCACATTAAGTAGAATAAAGCTTGATCTAAAATCCTAAATTTTATAGTCTAATTTCGTTAAAATTTTTCGGGGTATTTCAGATAACTGATTAAAGATCTGAAACAAGAAAACATTGCGCTTAAAACAATATTTCATCAAAAAATTTAATTTAGAGAGTATTCCACTCCCTGTCAAAAATAGTAAACATTTGCCGGCAAATATGGACTTAATATGGAATCCTGAATTACATATAAATAAAACTACATACAATAAAATTATTGGATATTAAATAGAAATTAATTTTTTTTGTCTTTTAGGTTTTCAGATATCATAAACTAAGGCAATAATTTTTCAACTAATTTTAACAATCACTTTAGTTAATCGCAGAATTTTCTATAACTTTTTGACTCACAAATTTAGGGTGAATATACTCTCCCTTTCAAAAATAAACAAATACAGCAAACATGTTATCAATCAAGTCACTAACAAAAGAAGATCAAATAAAACATTAATAGAACTATTAGATATTAAGTAAAACAATATTTGTTTTATTCGCCCATGTCAATGTTTGTGATAAGATTAAGTTTATTGGTTAATTAAAACTTTATTTAGAATGTATTGGTCATAACCAGTGATGCGTGAATTCAGTTTTGGAACTGGAACCTTGTCGAACATTTTCCAGAACTGGAATTGGAACCGCCAAAATTTTGGAACTTCCGCATCACTGGTCATAACTAGAGACGAATTGGAAGGCTTTAAGTAATGTCTATCAACTTAAAATTTAAAATTATCCCTTTCAGTCCCTCTATTATTTTCTTGAAAAGCAACTCGGCGATCACTCAACGGGGAAGTGGAACGTCTCCCATTTTGGTTAAATACTGAGAGTGGTTGTTGAGTAGATTCAATTGAAGGGGAAAAGTCGATTGCGTTGACGTCCTGAAAAAGGAAAGGGAGGATTTACGTGAGGATTTTTTAAATAAAAAGGAATTTATTATTAGTGCGTTTCCTGCACTTAGGGATAATTAATTATTATGACAACACGTTAAATTTTGCTAAATATAAAATTTCATATTTCCGTAATTTTTAAAATTATAATTTTCAGATAAGATTTATCAAACATTTTTAAAGTGTTAAAGTAACTCAGAGATATATCAACCATATATTATGTTGTAGATGAGCGAATAAATCATTGAAAGGGTTTTCATTATATTGCTTACTGATTGTGAGAAGGAATATCTCTTACCAAAATAGGCTCCGACGAGAGATTACTAATTTTAGTGACATTTTGGAATTAATCACGAAAATTATCTGAATTTAAACCATTAGATTTTCCTACTAGGATATAAATCGTACAATCTTATTTAGAGAGTACAACTCCCTATACAAAAATACTATACGTCGTGGGTCAACTCAACACAGTCAACAGTGATAGCAGTGAAATTATTTAAATAAATGGCAATTATATTTTTGAATATTAAGTAGAACTAAGTTTTTTCCTACAAAGTTTTTTTGGTGCTGATCTTTAATAATAGAACTCCGTTGCTGGTCCACCAATCGGCGGTTTTAACCGGATAAATAACCACTAGTATGTAAAATCGGTCCTACTAGTATGTAAAATGTAAAATCTTATTTAGGGAGTTAAACTCCCTATACAAAAATATATGTCTCGGTTTTAACTCAACACAATCAACTAAATACTAGTGAACTTATTTAAATAATTGGTAATTAAATTTTTGAATATTAAGTAGAACTAGGTTCGGTTATACTAGGTTAGGCATTAAAAACTTACAGAATAAAGCGATATACTTCTTTTAGGCTCTAAAATTAATGAATCTGAACTATTTACTGCAGTTGTTGTTTTATTAAAAGTATTCGGCGCTGCCGACCACCTTGGCGGTGGCGGCAAATTTGTGTTTTTATTTACTGGTTGTTGTTGACTTTTACAGCTACTACTTGTTTGTGTTGGCAATAAAGGCTCGCCGAGCTCTGAAGAGCCGCCGAAGAATTTCTGTGAAAAATGGTGATTAATTTATGGAAAAGAAATAGAAAAAGCCTAGCTTAAAAAGATCATATACCGCCTAAAATTTAAGCTTATTTGTTTTTATTTTAGTCGAATCGAGCTTTTTCTTTTTGAAAATTTAATTCAGCAAAATTTGGATTTTTAAAACCAAATTATTCGTTATTTTGTACATATACCATTTAGGGATACATAATCCCTAGCCAAAAATACGAAAATTATATGCGGAAAATTTCATACGTAAAAAACCGAAATAATATTTAAATAAATTTTTAATTTATTTTTGAATATTAAGTACCATTAAATAGTGTAAGTAGCTCTACTATGTATATGTCAGCGGAAAATTTGAATGAGTACCGAAATTACTAAAATTTTACTAACAATACTGTACCAGTGACTGATAACTAATTTTAGAATTTTTAAATTTATAGCGCGAGCCTATCCTTTTACTTTACTCATAGAGCAAAGGGAACATTAATTCGGTGTACTTAAAAGTACAGCTCTTTAATTTTGAAAGTATTTCGGGAATAACGCTGCTTAGAACGATGCTGACCTATTCTAGTTTATTTATGGGATGCACCCCGAACGCTAGGGATCGGTGTAGCGGGGTACTTGTTTTCAAATTGTTTCTGGGCGGTGTTCGAGTCGGGGAAGAGTCAGGAAAAGATTTGACGGTGTCTGGGTACCAGTTAGGGCTGCAACACTAATTTATTTGTGAATATTTGCATTCTTAAAAAGCATTTTTTATTAAGTATTAAGTCCTTTGTTTTGTTTAAATAGTGTAAAAAACCCGAGGATTTCCATAAAAACTCATTTCGTCATTTCACAGCCCCTTTTTCCCTTTTATAGAGCTCTCCCAAGTGGCGTCATTCAACGTAAAATAAAAAGAGTTTAGTGTCTGCCTCTAAAAAAGGCGCGCAAAAATTTAGCAGAACAAAATTGCTTTTGCGTCAAAACTAAGCTAATTAAACGGAAAAAGTGGAAAAGTGATGAAAACGGAGGGAATGGACAAATGAGTAAAAGCTTTGGTTGGAAATTTTTTTTATTTTGTGGTTAAAGGGCGATAGGAGGATTGACCTAAAGGGGGATAAAAATTGTTTTAAAGGAAAGGGCGGGTTGGGAAAAAATAAAAGAAATGGGGGATTGAACCAAAAGCGAGATTTCGAAGAAAAATCTCAAGGAGGCTTATTTTAAAGGTGGGCCTATTTTAGAAGACCTACGGTATTTAGTTGTCAATTTTCTCTAGATCTGACTGGAGGTTTTTAAAAAAATGGTGGAGAAGTTGACCCAAAAGAGAGATCTCGAACATAAACTCGGTTGTCGAGAGAGATGTCAATCTCTAAAAATCTTGTATAAACTCCAGTCAGTTTTCTTTTTTATAAACCTCCAGTAAGTTCTAGAGGAAATGAACAACTAAATACCGTAAATCATTTAAAATAGACCCCCGTTCTAAAATAAGCCCCCTCCCACATAAAATTTTTAATAGTTATTTAATTGTTGTGTAGCCACCTCCTTGGATGATATAGAAGGATTAGAAGTGATTAAGAGGGTATTTGGGGGATTGACAGGCATATAAAAGGATTAACGTAGATATCGAGGGATTTGAAGTGATTAATAGCGATATAGGAGGATTTGTATGTTTAAGATATATATGGATATTGAAGATAAGAGGAGATTAGGAGGGATATTGTAAGGATTTGGGGGGACCTCCTATATCCCCCTTTTATAAGAGATTTATAAAAGAAAACCTATAAAACAATTCCCAGAAAATTTCTCCGCTAGTTATAATTTTTTACCCTTTACTCTATTTTTCCCTCAACACAAAGTTGACTCCACAAAAGCATAAAATTTTTATCGCTCGGCACAAGGCTTTTGACTTTTAGTTGATTTTTGCTTCATATATAAAATATAAAAAATAAAACAACAAAAAGAAACCAAAAAGCTCTGCAAAGGATAGATAAGAAATAAAATAAAAAAAGATGAGAAAAGGCTAGAAAAGAAAATAGAAGGAAAAAGCGGACTTAATAGGTTTTTTAGAAGGGGCTGAAAGAAGAGAAAATACACCAATAATACCAGCAGATGCAGGAATGTATGTATGTTGCTTTAATTTGTCTCAGATTTAAGGAAATCTTTGTGCTATCACACCTTAGTATAGTTAAAGCAATTTGCTAACTTATCATTCTTCGAGTATTAAAGCTCCTTATCCCCCTTTCAATCAGATCTCTCACTTATTCTTTCTCAACATTTCTCACTTAGCCACCTTTCAATTATCACAGTTAACACTTATTTCTCCTTCAATTATCACTGCTCGTAAATATATGTATAATATTAATCGGCTACTTTGAAATATTTCCAAGATTGTATTATGCATTGAAATGACAACGAAAAAAAGGTGCTCACAAAATTAATAATATACTAATCTCCCTTTTCTTTTACAACATATAAAATTTATCATTTATGCTAGATTGTATAGGTAGCCTTGTTTCACGAAATCGCATGTCTGAAAGCAACTATGTATATTTTTGTAAGAGGGTTTGATTAACCCTCTAATATTTTTGTTTCATCATATTTTTGTTTGTTTTGTTCATTTATATATCAAAGCTCTCACTTAACCCTCTCTCAATTTTCACTGCTCTTACTATAATCTGCATCGGCTACTCTGAAGCGTCCTCTAACCTTATATTTTACATATTAGAGGCAGAAATGATAAGGAAAAAGGTGTTTATCAAAATTGTACCTAGCCCTTTTCTTTTACAATATATACAATTTAATATATATGCTTGGTTATATAGGCGACTCTGTTTATTATATTAAGATGTGTTCAGTGTGGAGAATCCTGACTCGGAATAATATTTTTGTAAGAGGGTTCGGTTAATCCTCTAATTAGAAATAGGGCCAAGAGGGTAGTGACCGTACTCCACTCTCGGGTAGAGACCGTACTCCACTCTCAGTACGGTCTCTACCTATACTCTTTCGAGTTGATGATTAGGTGCTAAAAGCTCGTGCCTTATAAACTTCACAATGTTTAGAAAAAAACGAACATAATGTGGGAACCCAAAAATGTTCTGTTCGTTCTATGCGTAGAGTGAAGGGAACAATCCCCTTAAAAATTCAAGTATACTCTTCTCGTATATGTAAGAGATTTGAGATAAATGACTGGGTTTAAGCTAATATTGTAATAAATATAATAACAGTTTTACTTCCAATTTTGTTTGGACTAAAAATGTTGTATTTAAGTGTGGGAGGAAACAAAAGGTTTTGGCATGAAAATGTAAAGGGCGCGAGAAAATAAAAGCTAAGAAAAAACTTGTTATTTAATTAGCAATACAAGAATGTAAATATTATTGGTAGAAAGCTTGTAAAATGTAAATAATGTTTGGGAAAATAACAAGGGTTTTAAAGGTGTTAAAATGGGTACTGATTCGAATATAACGCTACAATAAACGTCGTTATGTTAATGGTGGTATAGCCGTTGTGAATGGAAGCAGAAGTGGATTGGAACAGTCAGAGGTGTCGGAAATCGGAAGAGTCGGAAATCAGAACTGGCTCAAAAGTCGGAACTCGGAAATTAAAAATTTTTTTGGAAATCGGATGGAAAAAAACGTCGGAAATCCAAATTTCGACCCACCTCTGGATGGAAGTGATATGAATTTTGCTTGGGAAAGCTTCAGCGTTTCTGAGAAAAAACTGAGGATTTTTCTGTTCAATTTTCGATTTAATTTCGGATATCTTGGGAGACTTCATTCAAAAAATTGGAAAAAATAAGTTAGTGAAAGATGCTCCTTTCTTTCTAGCCATAGGGTGAAGGGAATTGTGTTTTGAACAACCTAACCCAACTTTTAGTTCAGCACCATATTATTACTCTTAAAATTTGAAAAAAATATTTTTCTGAATTAAAAAAGTGGATTTTATTTAGTTTATACTTCAAAAAATTAAATCAGAGTCATAAAATGGCTAAATAACCTATTAAAATCGCGGTTCCCTTCGCTCTACTCGTAAAGCGAAGGGAACACTTCTCAAAAAGGATGTTCCCTTCGCTCTACTCGTGGAGCGAAGGGAACACATATTTTTTGCTTAGTTTGATCAACGTCTATTTAATGTTACTAAATTTTATTGCCTCCAAAACGTTGAAAAAATATTTTTTTAATTAAAATAGAAGGAAATTCTTTTTAGTTTTTACTTAGCTTTACTCAATGGAATGTGATTTTAGCTAGTTTTGTAACTGGCATTTTAACTGCCAACTCCCTCCACCCTTGCGGAATTCATTTATTCATTCCAGATGAGAATTTTTGGCTTTATTAATAGCGTTCCTTGGCATTCCATTCATTTCTTCTCTTTTCTCTTTTTTTCCAGTCACTTTATTTTATTTTAAGCCTTTCTAACTAATTTCTAACTCCCTCAGTTGAGTCCCGACGTGGTTGAGTCCAGGCCCTATTAACTTCTCAATGGGTGTATACTTTTTAATGTTCTTGGTACCATTAGATAGAGAATTGAATACTCTATAGGATTTGAAAAAATCAAAATTTTAGACCCATCGACACAAAAGTTATGGTCCATAAAGTTCCGATGGTCCATAAAGTTCCGAAAATCGACATTTTTTAAGAAAATTTTTAGTTTTTAGACCATAACTTTTTTTGTCGTTAAGTCAAGAATTTTGATTTTCATGTCATCTTGTAGTGCATTTAATCCTCTATCCAATGGTACCAAAAACATTGAAAAATATTCACTCCTTAAAGAGTTATAGAGTAAAGACTCAACTGAACTTGTTCCGCCTTCCAACTACCCATTCTTTCCCTTTCGCCCTTATTGCCACAAACAAAACAAATAGTATAAATAAATGTTGACTTAAGGGGAGATAAAGGAGCAGCCAAAGGGGAAAATGAGGAAAAAACGTTTTGAAAAAGAAAAAAATTGTAGGAACGCAAAAAGAGGAAAAATTTGAGGGAGGGCGCGCAGTTGCTGGGGGCAACCGTTAAATGAAATTAAAAAGAGGATTGTGGAGGTTTCCAATTTTGTTAATTATTTAGAGGTGATCAGAGAGCAAAATTAGGCATATAACTCTATTTTTATTTAATTTGGAGGGATTCTTAGTATTTTTAAAGAAAGGATGTTCCCTTCGCTCTATGAGTAATGTGAAAGGAACGTTTTTGTCTAAATTAGAATAATATAAAATTA